CCAGTCGTTTGTTAGCGTAGTCTCATAATGAGCAGTGAGCTGACAGGCAGACATTTAATTTTCTTTTTATTCTTATTTCACAACAGTGTGTATTATTAAAGTCCCACAGCTGGAACTCGACTTTGAGCAGCTTGATTATCGACATATTTCATCTTTAGACAATCTGAGAGCGATAATAAAACCTTAAATGACCGTTTGGCTCAAAAGTGGGTAGTTTTTCTCTCTTTTTTGTGACAATAGACATGTTTTTTTCTGATATTGATGCAAAAACTTGTCAAAGCTGTTCTGGGGAGTGAATTTCACTCTCCTTTTATGTGTTGAAATGTTTTGGCTCTTCCATGGCTTTGTGAGAGAGCAACAGAGCTGAACTGTGATGCTGTGTGATGTGGTTAAGAATGAATATAAGTGCTGTTATTATCTTCCCACAGATGACACCAACAAATTCACTGCTCAGCTGCTTTCATGCGGGAAATAGTATGGTCTGCAACCAAATTCTCTATGCAATAAGGTGACTTTATAAGAAAATCATACAGGGAGGTTATTGCGCCATCAGGTTTAAAATGAAACTGGCTGAAAGGTGACTATAAAACAAAGGAAGGTCACTCTTAATATATGGAGATCTCCTTCAGTATAGTACAGGAGTCTATCAGCCATAGAGGAGAAGTCGTCTTTAGGGACATACAAGGACTTTATATTTGCTCACGTCTCTTTTCACCTTTTTTTTTCTTTCTTTCTCAAGCTTAACTCCCTTTCGTGGGTATTTCTTTTAAAATCTGTGGTCAGTCTAAATGCTTTATGTCTGTGTTGATGTGTCTGCTAGAGTAGTTTTTTTCATTCTATTTCTTCTCACTTTCACCTTTATAGCCAATTTTCTACATCTTTAATGCAAATCCCAGACAGCAGCCCCGCAAATGAGAGCAGTGACAGAAAAACCCCAGTGATCTAAGTGTCTTAGCTCTATCCTTAATTCATTAATTTGATGTTTGCCTACAGTCGGTCACCCGGAATAATCCTTCTGGAAAGTCCACTGAGCTTTGCCACCAAGCAGAATTGGGATTCTGGATGACTGATCACAAAGCGTACGCCCACACAGTCCCACGCTCTGTTCATATATCCAACATGTAGTCCAGTTTGCACAAACATACAGAGCACACACCAGCTGCTCTTTAATCTCACTTAAAACCTACTTAAGTGCAATGAAACTGCGGGATCATTTCATCATATTTACCCACTGGATTTGACTTTTTTTTAGCACAAACATAAGCCCTTAAAGTCTGTTGAATTATTATCATACGTTAATTTAAGAGTAAATCTTTATGAGACGCAGAACATCAATTTGAAAATGGGCCTCCTTTAAACAGATATAAAAGATAATGTATCAAATCAGACTGTGTTCATTACATGGCTTCCAACTGAAAACAACATAAATGGAAAACCGCACAATTGATCAAATAAGAAAAGAAACATTTGTGATTGAAATATACTTAAAATGTTTCAGTTGAATTTAACTGGACGACATAAGATCCTGTTGTGCCTTATTGCAAGCTATGCTGAGTGCAATGAAAGTGTGTGATCAGAAGACGCTGTCTTCAGATTATGACAGATCTGCTTTTTGATTATTATTTATCACCACATCAAACTGGAGCAGACCCCAAATTTCTGCTACAAGGAAATCCAAATACAGAGCCCTAAGAAACACATTCATTATATAATTTACACGTTCAGCAGTACACAGTAAGCCCAACAGAATAAACCTTCATAGAGGCAAACAAGGTGATGAACAAAAACCTCTGGAAGGACGTACAGAACTGACATGTTTCACACAGTTGAAATACTTTTAATTCAAAGTATTTCTTTAATTGGTCGTACACAAGTTTCTTAAACTCTTAGATGCAGAATTTGGAAATTAGCTGAGATCTTTTAGGAACTGAAGCATAAAAGCAGTTATTTAAAATTTGTGTAACTGGGTTTGTATTCTGGTCACATATGGATTGTTTAATATGAATGGAGTTATGAAAATGTATGACAGTGCCATGTGCCTGTGCCATGCTGCAGTGAGGAAAACTATCAATTTAATGTGGTAAAACTACCTCTAAAAAATGTTCCAGCTTTTATAGGCAGAAAAATAGGATATTGACAAGTGCTTTTATAGAAAAATGAAAGAAATCAAATCATAAATCAAATTATATTTGGAAAATTTACTTATATGACATGTATTTTTACCAGTGAAAATAGCATAATATGAACAGGGAATACGTTTTTGGAGAAAAAAACGAAAAAACAATAATCTGTGTTTAGGAAATAAAAATATGATTATGTATGTTATATGGTTTACACAGGAAAATAACACAGGCAAGAAAGCTCTGGTTCTGTGATTCTAGTTTGTCTGTTTTTAGCTCTTATGTGTCTCTAAGTGTTGTGTTTTGAAGGATTTTTATTATGTAGCTGAATAGTTTATTTAAACTGAATAGTTTATTATTTTTTCAGAATCCTCTGCCCCTAGGCTGCTAAAAATCTGTGCTTTACCGTGATGTTTAAAGTGATCTAAAAGCTTAATGAGCCTAGATATTCCAAATGAGTCAATCAGATCCCTCAAAGATACAAATTCAGGACTCCATCGGAATAGTGAAGCTTAAATAATTCCCACATTTTACCCACAGAAATGTCAAATGAGGTTGGGTTTTCTGTAGGAATAAATTGGAATACAAAAACATTTTCTGAGTAGCAGAAAGTTTTCTAAAGCTCCTGCTGATTTAATGTTTTATTTACTTAAATTTACTTGTTAAACATGCACGATTACGTTCAGGGTTAAGTTCTACCTTACAAACATAATCCAGTCTGAATACAAGACGCATGAGGTTCCCGTTATTTTCTTGTGAGGCACAAAACCATTTTATTACAGTTTCCTAGATATATTTGCATATTTAATTGCATTTATAGTCAGTGAGTGCTTATCAATGTCAGCAGAGTCTTTTGGTTGAGAGCACCTTTGAGTCTGTCACTGTTTAAATGGTGGTCTCTCCCGAGCCATGATAATTGATGTATTCCTTATAAAAGAGTGATGATTGAGTTGAGATTTTCTAAAGTAACCACAGTATGCCAAAAGTAGGACAAGGGAATGTGGGTTATGCTTTTGCAGCTTGTTAATGTCATCTTTATAAGAATTTTGACTTTACTTTCTTTACGTGATTAGCACGTTAATCTTTGTTGCGACCTATCGTCCATCTCTTTACCACGTCTGCTTCCCCGCTTGTGTTCCATACACAGACTGCACTCATTTGTATGCCTGGTTCATAATTAGCTATAGGATCACCCATTGTGTAATTATGTATAACAGTTTGATATGTAATTAAAATTGCCTCCGTATCTAGTGTAATTTGTGCTGATCACCTATTAATGGTGCAAACAGTTGTGACTAAACACCCGTGACCGCCCCTCTCACAGATATCACTGAGCTTCAGTCACTATTTACGTACTAGCAGGTGTGACATCTGATCGAACTGATAAGGAGCTAAAACGGTTTTCAGAAAATCATCTCTGGTTGTGGTGAAGTATGTTATTGGGAAGTGCTAAGACAAGAGCTTTCCTATTGATAAAGATTTAACTTCTTTGGTATAGAGTAGTTTGTTTTGCAGAAATACAGAAAGTCAAATGGATGTTTTTTTCTTTTTAGTTTTTGAAGTTGCTACATTTGTTATTAAAAATATGCCTGATCAAATTTAAGTGACTTTTCGGGAGTGGTAGGTCAATATGGTGGTCGTTGGAGGCCACACTTCAAAAATGTCCAACTTGCCTGTGTGCCACTGGTCCACACAGTGGCCTTATGTTGAAATACCATTGCTTTTCTTGTTTATAAGAAATAATAACATTGTCATACAGTTAGTCTTGCTTCAGTTACTTCACCAGCTAGAGAGTAGACTGATTGAACTGAATTTAAGGTGCAGCTTGGGCAAGATAGTTTACCTACATGAAAGTGAAAGTGTTCCTGACTTGTAGACATTGAATCTTGGTGTTGGTAATTAGCTATCAAATGGAAAATGGTGCAACTCTGTTCCAAAACTGTGACTTACTGTTTTTGTGCTTTTAAGTGACAAACTGTGTACCTACATGAATAAAGCTGCACTCTGCACGATATTGTAGTCATTAAAACATGTATTTGTTTGTGCAGTATTGCAATTGCAAAGAACTTGTATCCAGTATTTGGTAGGGTGTTGCATTTTAAGTGCCACTCTGTTTGCCAATTTTATATTTAATGAGTTGCATGGACTCACTGCTCTTGAAAATAATGATACTGAGAATAAATGTTGTTTCTTACATAACTACTCAAAGTGCTACAAAACCACTTCAAGATGTTCCACAGTAATTGATGCTTACAGGTAAAATAGATTTCAGTGGCTAAGATGCTGAAGCTGATGGTGAATAATGAGATGTTGTAATGAAAACTCAAAATACTGATTCTAATTGACATCTGGATCACAATATTCAGAAAGATTCACAATCATACAACTTCCTGATACCTGATATTAATCCTAATTATCTAGAGTAAAATCATGGCCTCCCCTTTTCTGCAGCCAATTTATGGCTGCAGAATACAATGTTTAAACCTTTTTAACTCCAAGGAGTGCCGCCACCTCTGTACAGACCATAAAACTGCAGCATGCTCCTGCATTCCCCAGAGTAGAGACTTAAGCAGCAGGTCTGACATCCACCGTATGGATGATTAGCATCATTAGAGCATCAGCTGCTCCCTCTCTCCGAGGCACACTCTTACACTCTACAAGGGCTCTTCACGTACATAACACTTAGGCAGAAGAAACGGTGTCATGTTTTTAGTAAAGTGATGATGCATTAATTACAAGTAGGTCAGGTGAATGAACCATTATATCTGCAGAAGCTCGAACTGTTGCAATAAAGATGCAGCAGTTATGTTTTGAAATACAAATGTGTGTTTGTTTTGTTTTTTTTCGCATGCCTCAATTTGTGTCCGTTTTATTTTTCAGCTCCAATAACCGTCGACCCACCGAAGATCCTGTTTCCGGCAGAAAATAAGACGACCAACATGGAGACACAACTCGGTAAGACCGTCTTACATGTTTTATTTTTCTTCTTTTTTACATGCTGTTGTCACTGTCTTCTGAGTTGTTCCCCAAATTGAAGAAAATTGATAACTTTACAAATTGTCTTCCCCACACCTCTGGGCAATACACGCAGATCAGCGATAGCACTTATTTGGGAGACGGTGAAAAAGAAAAAGTGGTTTCTGTATATGCTAATTGTGGGTGCTATTATCCCTAAGGCTGTTTTGTCAACAATGAAGAGCCCATATGGTACCGAGGTTCCGTACTCTGGCTTGGCACATTGCAAGGCGGCCGCTTTCTGTCGCCGTTGTTTGTCTTTTTTGACGTGAGGTCACAATGGGACTACCATGTGGGCATGCATGCAAGAGCAAGTATACGAGAGTGGTTTGTTTGTTGCTTTTTTTTTTTTTTTTTGCTTTTTTTTCTCCTGTGACAGCATATTGCTTGATTTCTGGGCACAGTCCTCTGTCCACATGGCGCTTGCCACGCTGTGAATGGCTAATGTGTCTGTCACAGTGCAGCCAATCAGACAAGACTGAGAGGTCTGGAGGATCGGAGAAAGATTGGAAGAGTTTGTGACACAAAGGGGAGGTATGAAGACAAAGCCCAAAGAAGGTCCAATAATTCACATAGAGCCTGCCTTTTGTCTTCAATCTGATGCTGCTGGAATGCAGGTAGTTCATTTGAAATGCCTCCACGGTCGGCTGATCAAGGGTGAAAAATTGCTGCTGTTGATAAACTGACAGGCACAGCCTCACATGTCAGCCGACTCACACCTATGCATGAACAGGTTGCACAATGCGGGCCCTTAAGCTATTTGTGTCATTCGTCTCTATCTTTACTCCACTGAGATTCGGGAAAGTTTCGACTTTTTCCATGAAAATGTCTCAAAATTGTTTAAATCCTCATTGTTTGCTTCGTGACTGTGTTTTTTTTTTTTGTTTGCTTGGGTTGTTTTTGCTGTACTCTGCATAAGTGTGCAGTAAATGGCTGTGGGCTTTTATGAAACTGGGGTGTTTTTTGGGAATTATTTTTAATGAGAAAACAGTTCAAATCAGAGCAGTAGAGGTCAAAGACAACTTGCATGTAGAAACTTTTCTGGGTTACAGCAGGTCAAAATTTCCACTAATAATTATAATTTTAATGTTTAATTAAAAAATGTGTTTTATAAAGATTTAGTTTGTTCAAAACTCAAAGGATCACCTTTCACGCTTTTAGCATCTCAGCATTCTGGAGCTTGTCAACAAGTTTTACCAAGCGTTTCAGACTTTATGTTTGGTTGAACTTGATGAATATTTTTAGGCCAAACCAGAGCATGCCAACTCCCATGCAGTCCTGACTTTTTAGACGCATTTCATAGACGTGGTGAGTTTCTTTAGCCATTTGTTTGGGGGGGGAAAAAACTAGCAGAATGCATAAAGACCCAGCGAACAAAAATATATTGTCGGGTCACTGAATTTCACAATGATTCATAAGTAAACTTTTTGGAAAAATCCTGATATTTAAACAAATACAACTTCCTAACTTGATGGAATGAAAAGGAAAAATCAAAACGTTTGATACCAAAAGAATTTTAGCAAAAGCTACAGAAATTGCTAAAAAAAAAAAAAAAATCCCTGACAAAAAAGCAAATGGAAATCCGACTGAAGTGTCTCACTTCTCATGAAGACATTTTGAATTTTTATTTGAAAAAATTCAAGGTCAAAGCTCAACAAACCTTAAAGATTCAATCTGTCACTGAATAAAAAAAACCATTTGTAACTATAAACCTCCATATGATTGTTTGCAGATGCGTGTTTGATCTAAAACACTTTTGTTTTACTTTTTCTTTGCTTCTCTCAAATTTCAGTGTTTTCATTTGGAAACAAGCCAGTTTTTGATTTGTAATGAAATGTTATTTATCTTTACGCTAAGAACAGAGAGCAAATTAATAACCTTATTTGTCTGCGACTATATGAGTTTCTTAAGTATCTGTGCTTCTGAGATTTCCATAACGGTGACATAAATAAGTATTCTTAATTACTAATTACTCCCTCATCACATTTAGCCATCAAATGAATATCTGAAGTAATCTTTTTCTATCGAGTCCTCTGGACTAATGATATTGGACTTTTTAAAGCAGAACAAATTGTCGGAGAAAGACTTGAGAATCCTTTGAAAGGCAGAGCTGTCTAACTCTCACGAAAAAGGCCTACTCAATCAAGCAGTGGGCTTTTTAATATGGAAACATTTCACTGTTACAAGGAAGAGTAGATTAAATTAAATGCTGGTAATCTTTGGAAGCAAAAATCGCCAGCTGTAGAAATGAAAGTGGTTTGTGTCTACAGCCAAATAATGATCTTAAATCATGTTCAAAGTCGAGAATGAAGGGACGTTGACTGAACCCAGATATCAGTAAAACAATTCATGGCTGGAGCTGAATGGACTACTGACTGCAAGATGATCAGAATCTCCTTAAGGCTGAAAGAGCCAAGACAAGAACTAGAAGATAAATCTAAGATTGACCCAAGCTGTCACCCTCAAATGGAGGGAAACTGGCTTTAGCTAGTATAACACAAGAACCATCCAGCATGAAGCATGCTATGAAGTGGACACTTCTTGAAACGCGAGTGTCACTATTCATGGGGAAGGGATCCATGAATAGTGAACTAAGAGGAAGCTCCCAGAAACAGTTTTTTCCCCTAAAATACAAAGGGAATTGCCTTGTGGTTTACGATTGGTTGAAGACTGAGCTATTTGACAACAATGACAACAAAAGTATTTGGACATGTTAAGGTGGCATAAGTTAAGATTATATCTATGTGGTATTAAAAAAACCATAATTCCAGACATTGAATTTAGAAAACAGGCGATAAGGTTCTGGAAGGTTTTCAATGCCTAATTGTCTTTTTTTGTCTCTAGTTTGAAATGCAAAGACGCTCCATAAGAATAATTTTGCAAACTCATTTCTGAACAGAATAGAACCTGAGTAGCTGGGTTCACTGCCTGATCATTGAATGATCTCACGCTGAAAGCAGAACAGCTTCATTTGTTCACATGGTGTAAAAGGGAATGGCACACCCATCAACAACAACAACAACAACAACAAAAGATGAGCACGCAGAGCAGCAGAGACATGAGGGACAGTGGAAGAGAAAGTCTGTGATGTTATGCAGTGAGCTCCCGCAGACTCCTCACAGAGGGTCCAAAGCACCAGGACCGAAGTAAATATTTTACAGTAGGGCTTCATTTTGTGTGCAGAAATGCACTCTGCCTCTAAACAGCAGCTTCTCATTTATTTAGCTGTTATTTATTTATTCTCTCTTTCTTAATATTTGTTGAGGCATGCCCTGAGCAGCTTTATGGAGCAAGGTGGCAGATTTATAGGAGCCGGAACGTGCATAGAAAGAAGCAGGTCCCTTATGGTTAGTGAAAAGTAGAGAGAGAGAGAAATGGTATCTAGCGTAGGCCGACCGATGGGCAATAAAATCAGGGCCATAAGCAGAGAGATAAATCTGCAACAGTGCCGGGAAACACAGACCCACTTTATCTCTTCTTCTCTTGCAAACAGTGCAGGTCTCACACAGCCTCCATCTTGGCGTTACACATCGCACACGCATGCATTCACGCACACAGGCAGATGTAAATCTAACACTTATGTTACATAAGCTCTCACAGAAGACTCTCAGCAGGGGTGTCCTGGATAAAAGCCCAGAGATGTTGGCGCAAAGATTTGACCACAAAAATAGGAGTAAAGTAGAATAGAAAAAGCTGCACCACAAGGAGGGTGATGTTTGAGGGTATTACTAAAGAGCTTTTTAGAAAAGAAAGAGACTGAGCTGTCGGAGTTTGCTTTTCTTTAAGAGGGACTTTGTCAGATTTTCCCTTTCTGTTCTGAAGCTTCGTCTCCTTGGTTGTTTGTCCTGCCAAATTTCCTCAGAAAAAGATTTTCTCTGTTTTGCATAACAAGCCCCAATGCCACCAACAAGGTATTGTGTGTGTGCTCTGTGTCTGCGCTACAGGAATCATCTGCTATGTGCTTTTATCACAAACAGGTATTTTTTGTAGGGCATGCTGACATTTTTGTCTAGTTTCTGCAAGAAACGGGGTTGCCTTTGTGCAAGTCGGCTGAAGTTTGACCAGAAAACATAATTTTATCATTATAGATTTTTTTTTTGACTGTCCCCAAGTGATGAGCTGTTGAAGTCTACCTCTAGGTGGAAGATATGATGGAATCCCTCAAAATACACACCCTTACACTAAGTGGAATACTATAGACACTCCAGCAACAAATTCAAAACAGAATCGCACGCAAATCGAGTCACTGGTTTGGTGTTGATTCCCCCAGGATGATTTGTCATAGACGCACCAGTGCAGTAAGCGTGCTTGAGGGATTCGGCTCATGCTTACGCAGCACACCACTCTGAGCATCTCGCCAGCTCTCCCTCTTAATCACCCGAGCAGATATTTGCACAGCCCTGCACTAGTCGGGGTGGAAGGGTCACACTCACGCTTGGAGCACATTGCTCTCCTTTGGAATAATTGTAACTGATAGTGGATTTTACTGTCCCCCAAAGCCACCAGATGGGTGCACTCTTCTGGAAATGAATTAAAATCCATTATTTCAGCAAGCAGGACTAAACAGACACTTTTTTTTTTGCTTCCAACCTAAACTGTACAAAACTTTCTCACGTTTAAGTGAATACATACACTCAGTGGTGCATGTATATGTAGAAGGCAGACCCGTTTAGAAAGTATTTTATTTAAGATCAGATTATGTGCCTCTTCATCCTCTTCTCCAACTGAGGAGACCGCACGTGTTATGCACTGGAACTTCATTAATTGGTTGTAAGGTAAAGGTTGTGATCAAAGTACTGCTTATGGTTTTAAAGCTAACACACTCATGCAAAACTATTAATACACCTTGAATATTTCCATATTTTATACTATGATAAACAACTGTACATTTTACTGGGATGTAATACTAGAGAGATAGACTAACACTTTTATGTAGTATG